TGAATGGATTAAATGCTCCAACCAAAAGACATAGGCTTGCTGAATGGATACAAAAACAAGACCCATATATATACTGTCTACAAGAGACACACTTCAGACCTAGTGACACATACAGACTGTAAGGGGATGGAAAAAGATATTCCATGCAAACGGAAATCAAAAGAAAGCTGGAGTAGCAATACTCATATCAGATAAAATAGACTTTAAAATAAAGAATGTTACAAGAGACAAGGAAGGACACTACATAATGATCAAGGGATCAATCCAAGAAGAAGATATAACAATTATAAATATATATGCACCCAACATAGGAGCACCTCAATACATAAGGCAACCACACACAGCTATAAAAGAGGAAATCGACAGTAACACAATAATACTGGGGGACTTACCTCACTTACACCAATGGACGGATCATCCAAAATGAAAATTAATAAGGAAACACAAGCTTTATATGAAACAATAGACAAGATAGATTTACTTGATATTTATAGGACATTCCATCCAAAAACAGCAGATTACACTTTCTTCTCAAGTGCACACAGAACATTCTCCAGGACAGATCATATCCTGGGTCACAAATCAAGCCTCAGTAAATTTAAGAAAACTGAAATCATATCAAGCATCTTTTCCAACCACAATGCTATGAGATTAGAAATCAATTACAGGGAAAAAAACATAAAATCACAAACACATGGAGGCTAAAAAATACGTTACTACATAACCAAGAGATCACTGAAGAAATCCAAGAGGAAATCCAAAAATATCTAGAGACAAATGACAATGAAAACACCATGATCCAAAACCTATGGCATGCAGCAAATGCAGTTCTAAGAAGGAAGTTTATAGCTATACAAGCCTACCTCAAGAAACAAGAAAAATCTCAAATAAACAATCTAATGTTACACCTAAAGGAACTAGAGAAAGAAGAACAAACAAAACCCAAAGTTAGCAGAAGGAAAGAAATCATAAAGAACAGAGCAGAAATAAATGAAATAGAAACAACAGCAAAGATCAATAAAACTAAAAGCTGCTTCTTTGAGAAGATAAACAAAATTGATAAACCATTAGCCATATTCATCAAGAAAAAGAGGGAGAAGACTCAAAACAATAAAATTAGAAATGAAAAAGGAGAAGTTACAACAGACACTGCAGAAATACAAAGCATCCTAAGAGACTACTACAAGCAACTCTATGCCAATAGAATGGACAACCTGGAAGAAATGGACAAATTCTTAGAAAGGTATAACTTTCCAAGACTGAACCAGGAAGAAACAGAAAATACGAACAGACCAATCACAAGTAATGAAATTGAAACTGTGATTAAAAATCTTCCAACAAACAAAAGTCCAGGACCAGATGGCTTCACAGGTGAATTCTATCAAACATTTAGAGAAGAGCTAACACCCATCCTTCTCAAACTCTTCCAAAACATTGCAGAGGAAGGAAAACTCACAAAAACTCATTCTATGAGGCCACCATCACCCTGATACCAAAACCAGACAAAGATACTACAAAAAAAGAAAATTACAGACCAATATCACTCATGAATATAGATGCAAAAATCCTCAACAAAATACTAGCAAACAGAATCCAACAACACATTAAAAGGATCATACACGATGATCAAGTGGGATTTATCCCAGGGATGCAAGGATTCTTCAATATACACAAATCAATCAATGTAATACACCATAGTAACAAACTGAAGAATAAAAACCATAAGATCATATCAATAGATGCAGTAAAACCTTTTGACAAAATTCAACACCCATTTAAACTCTCCAGAAAGTGGACATAGGGGGAACCTGCTTCAACATAATAAAGGCCATATATGACAAACCCACAGCAAACAGCATTCTCAATGGTGAAAAACTGAAAGCATTTCCTTTAAGATCAGGAACAAGACAAGGATGTCCACTCTCACCACTATTATTCAACATAGTTTTGGAAGTCCTAGCCACGGCAATCAGAGAAGAAAAAGAAATAAAAGGAATACAAATTGGAAAAGAAGAAGTAAAACTGTCATTGTTTGCAGATAAAGAATCCTAAAGATGCCACCAGAAAACTACTAGAGCTAATCAATGAATTTGGTAACGTTGCAGGATACAAAATTAATGCACAGAAATCTAATTAATGCACAGAAATGTCTTGCACTCCTATACAGTAATGATGAAAAATCTGAAAGAGAAATTAAGGAAACACTCCCATTTACCACTGCAACAAAATGAATAAAATACCTAGGAATAAACCTACCTAGGGAGACAAAAGACCTGTATGCAGAAAACTATAAGACACTGATGAAAGAAATTAAAGATGATATCAACAGATGGAGAGATATACCATGTTCTTGGATTGGAAGAATTAATATTATAAAAATGACTATACTACCCAAAGCAACCTACAGAGTCAATGCAATCCCTATCAAATTACCAATGGCAGTTTTTACAGAACTAGAACAAAAAATCTTAAAATTTGTATGGAGACACAAAAGACCCTGAATAATAGCCCAAGCAGTCTTGAGGGAAAAAAATGGAGCTAGAGGAATCAGACTCCCTGACTGCAGACTATACTACAAAGCTACAGTAATCAAGACAGTACGGTACTGGCACAAAAACAGAAATATAGATCAATGGAACAGGATAGAAAGCCCAGAGATAAACCCACGCATCTATGGACAACTAATCTATGACAAAGGAGGCAAGGATATACAGTGGAGAAAAGACAGGCTTTTCAATAAGTGGTGCTGGGAAAACTGGACAGCTACATGTAAAAGAATTAAATTAGAATGCTCCCTAACACCATACACAAAAGTAAACTCAAAATGGATTCGAGACCTAAATGTAAGACCGGGCACTATAAAACTCTTAGAGGAAAACATAGGAAGAACACTCTTTGACATAAATCACAGCAAGATCTTTTTTGATTCACCTCCTAAAGTAATGGAAATAAAAACAAAAATAAACAAATGGGAACTAATGAAACTTAAAAACTTTTGCACAGCAAAGGAAACCATAAACAAGATGAAAAGACAACCCTCAGAATGGGAGAAAATATTTGCAAATGAATCATTGGACAAAGGATTAATCTCCAAAATATATAAACAGCTCATACAGCTCAAAATTAAAAAAAAAAACAACCCATCCAAAAATGGGCAGAAGACCTCAACAGACATTTCTCCAAAGACATACAGATATCCAACAAGCACATGAAAAGCTGCTCAACATCACTAATTATTAGAGAAATGCAAATCAAAACTACAATGAGGTATCACCTCACACCAGTTAGAATAGGCATCATCAGAAAATCTACAAACAACAAATGCTGGAGAGGGTGTGGAGAGAAGGGAACCCTCTTGCACTGTTGGTGGGAATGTAAATTAATACAGCCACTATGGAGAACGGTATGGAGGTTCCTTAAAGAACTAAAAATAGAACTACCATATGACCCAGCAATCCCACTACTGGGCATATACCCAGAGAAGACCATAATTCAAAAAGGCACATGCACCCCAATGTTCATTGCAGCACTATTTACAATAGGCAGGTCATGGAAGCAACCTAAATGCCCACTGACAGACGAATGGATAAAGAAGATGTGGTACATATACACAATGGAATATTACTCAGCAATAAAAAGGAATGAAATTGGGTCATTTGTTGAGACGTGGATGCATCTAGAGACTGTCATACAGAGTGAAATAAGTCAGAAAGAGAAAAACAAATATCGTATATTAATGCATATATGTGGAACCTAGAAAATGGTACAGATGAACTGGTTTGCAGAGCAGAAACTGAGACACAGAAGTAGAGAAAAAAACGTATGGACACCAAGGGGGGAAAGCGGCACGGGGTGGGAGTGGTGGTGTGATGAACTGGGAGATTGGGATTGACATGTATAGACCGATGTGTATAAAATGGATGACTAACAAGAAAAAAAAAAAAAAAATAAATAAATATATATTTAAATATTAAAAAAAAAAGAAAACTCAACACAAGCAACCCGAGCTCATTCAAATTACTAACAATGAAGGAGAAATATTACTAAAAGTAGGAAGTAAACAAAAATTTTAAGTACTAAATTCTTACATGATTTTAAATTTAATTGTAATAAATTGATTATAATTATTATAGCTGTTTCTTATTTACACTTTCAGGCGTGGTGCTCAAGTTGATTCCATACAGTACTGTATTTTATATAAGCTTTACAACAGAATCATTAAGTAGATACTAACATCATGTGGGTGGAGGTGGGGTGGGGGGGGCATCGGGGCTCACAGACATTCAACCACTTGTTTAAGTTAGCAAATGAAGAAGCTGGGACCTGGGGCTTCCCTGGTGGCACAGTGGTTAAGAATCCACCTGCCAATGCAGGGGACACGGGTTCGAGCCCTGCTCCGGGAAGATCCCACATGCCGCCCTGGTCCGGGAATATCCCACGTGTCGCGGAGCAACTAAGCCTGTGCGGCCACAACTACTGAGCCTGCACTCTAGAGCCCGTGAGCCACAACTACTGAGCCCACGTGCTACAACTACTGAAGCCCACACGCCTAGAGCCCGTGCTCCGCAATGAGAGAGGCCACCGCAATGAGAGGCCCGCGCACCACGGCAAGGAGGGGCCCCTGTTCACCACAACTATAGAGGGCCCGCGCACAGCAATGAAGACCCAACACAGCCAAAAATAAATTAATTAATTAAATACATTTTTAAAAAAGCTGGGACCTGAACTCAGGTTTGTTTGACCCAAAGCCCATGTTATCAACCATTACACTAGTCTGCCTTCCCTAACTGAATTGCGTGGATATAAGCAATCAGATCCAAGATAATGTTGCTTTTGAAAAAGTATTTTGGGACATCTTGAGATCAGTAATCTCTTCTGAAAAGAACTGCCCCAGAAAAGCCTAGCATTATTTGCAGGAAGTGATTAGCAACCCTGTGAAGAAAGGTTATTTATCGTGTTTACTGTAGTCTTTGGTTCTGAAACATCAAAGTGTGTCCTACCTGGGCAGCCTCATAAGTGATGGTCTTGGTCTCAGTGTGGACTATAGGGACGTCTTTGGTTGGAATTTCACTTTTCACAGCATTGGCAGTGTCTGAGATGGTGACGGTCTGAGTCTTCACCAGGGGAGGCTGTGAAGCAGTAAAGAAACAGAGTTACCGGAGTCTTCCGAAGGCTGTGGAGAACTAACCTTCTGACATTGAGCTGATCAAAGTGATTGCTCTAATCAAGCAAAGGGCTAGCTCAATCTCTGCCCAAGACTTGGACACTATTCCAAAGTAGCCCTGACAAGGTGTCAAATCATGAAAGATATTAAAGAACAGCATTACGATAATCAGTTTCATATTCTTAATGGAAAGCTATGATATCAGACAGTTACGATTGGTGATACAAAACACTTCAGACTGACCCTCAGAATTTGAATATAAAACTACTTGCCAAATAGCACTCACTTTTGTTTGTCCTTGTGACTGTACCATCAAAATTAAGAAAATCAGCCACATTTCCTCCTCTATGTACAAATGGTACAGGAAATAGCAGTGGCTCGGAACACATTACCCTGGAATTCATTAACTTCTTTCAAATCAATGTCAGACATTCACTTTGGAGTTATTGAAAAGAAACAGTATTTGGAAAACTGGAGAGAAAATAATCAGTTCTACCACCACCTGGTGATTAATCTCAGAATTTCAGAAGAATGAACATGAGCGAAATACCAAAGGTTTCTTGTCCATCAGCTCACCTTCCCCAAGACTATAAATCACCCTAAAACTACCATTTGATTGTGGTAAAGTTAATTACGGCCATCCACCTTAGCATAGGAGATTAGTACCTACAATCATGGAAGCTCCCGTGAGCGGGGTCAGTGGGAGTGGTGGGCTGCGCTATGTGGCTGCAATACACAAAAAATTATTTGGGGCCTGACTCCTTATTTAAAAAGTCAGTTACCCCTTGTAATTAAGAGTATTTGAATTTTTTGGGCTGGGTCTCAGAACACTGAGGGCTCCTCATCACAGAAGTCTCAGAAATTCACCTCTTTACACAGCCCATACTTGAGCAAGGAAAAGAGGAACATACTTACACCAGCTTCATAAAGATAAACAGCTGGAGTTTACCCCCAAGAGTTTTGTTAAGTCAACAGGGGAGAGAGCATTTCTAGCCTTGGTGTTAGTGACTCTGAATAAATTTCTTTGTAGTAATCAAGGACTTCAATTATATTCTGTGATTTTGAAAAAAAGCCAAGAGGCTACTACCCTCACCACTGCCACCACCACCACCTCCTCCACAGAATAGATTCTGGCCCTCTCCCAAAGTGAGTCATTAGATCTGCACGACTGAATCAGTTACTACCTGGAAACTTCGAATGAGGGTGGGGAACTGGTTACCCACACGAGAGTCAAGAAATGATCCATTTTGCTCTCCAACAGGCTCTCCTGGTATAACATGTTCTTCACTACTCTCTGCTTTTTTTTCAGCAACTTGCAGCTGAGAGGAAGCTGGTGATATTGAGGACTTTAAGGCACTGGCCTGTTCCTCCACTCCTACACATTCCCCACTTGGACCTCTCGACATTTCCTTAATATCAAGATAGCCAGTTGCCCCCTGCTCCTTCTCTTCCGTCTCCTTGCTGCTTATGGAGAGGGAGCCAAAGTCAAAGTTTTGTGGAGACTCCAACGGGGTAGTCATTTGGCTCTTACTAGGAATTATTGAATGCTTGGGGCCCTCCCATTCAGAGTCAGGGTTGGTAGATGGCCCCTTGGTCATGGCAGCCACCTCCTCTGTGCGAATGCCATTTATATTCTACAAATGAATGAACACATACAAAAGCAAGATTAGGAATTCGTGGGGAATACAGTGAACTCTGAGAATCAACAATGATTTCTAAGAGGCCTCAAAAATATTAATACTGGGCTTCCCTGGCGGTACAGTGGTTGAGAGTCCCCCTGCCGATGCAGGGGACGCGGTTTAATGCCCCGGTCCGGGAAGATCCCGCATGCCGCCGAGCGGCTGGGCCCGTGAGCCATGGCCGCTGAGCCTGCGCGTCTGGAGCCTGTGCTCCACAACGGGAGAGGCCACAACAGTGAGAGGCCCGCGTACAGCAAAAAAAAAAAAAAAAAAAATTAATACTAATATAAACCAAGAATCTTAACTCCTGAGGTGGTCAAAAGGAAGAATTACTGTTCACTAAACATGTCAGCAGCTTAAGTGATTCCAACCTCATTTTGGTCATATTTCTACAACATGGTTAATCTGAGAAACGATTTCGATGTGCCTCACATAGTACCAAGCACTTCATATTACAAGCACTTTGTATTTCTATGGTGTTCTCTGTATAACACATACTCTTCATACTTAGAGGAGTCACTATTCCTAAATACCTAACTCATTACTATGCACAGGACACAATGCAATTTATGAGTCAATAAAACATATTCTTGAGGAGTCTGATCAGATTGAAAAATACTCCACATATCTCCAAGCCATATGTATCATCAAGCTGGCCCATAATGCAGAGGCTAAAATCTAGACTCTGGTTGGCAGAGATATGGAAATCGAGTACATCCAGCACAGACTTAATCCAATCATCGTCAAAGAGTTAACTATAATATCAAAAATAGTGAAACATTTCTTTGTAAACAGAATAAATGCAACTGAGCAGCTGAGAAGTATTTCTCCACAGATGAATGACATATCTCCAACCCCTAAGAGAAATAAATCCTGGAAACACAGAGTTCCCTCCTGGGCTAAATGCCTCACATCACAGGGAAAATAGATCTAAAATAAGAACTTTCAAGAGAATGTGGAGAGAAGATAACATCACAGTAGACCTACTCCTAAAGTTTAAAGAAAGGTGCTGTAGGTGGAAGAAAAGTAGGAATTCACACTATTAGGAAAAGAATAGGAACCATTTGAGAAATGAACAATCTAATAGAAGCCAAATGTCAGGAAAATCTGCATGTGCTCACCAGAGGGCTGTACATAAGCCACTTAGGTCTGAAATTTTGGTAAGATCAATTTACCATATTACATGCTTGCCATAAAGGAACTTAACAGAAAAGGACTCTTTTAAAAAGGTGTTCCTGGAGTAATGACGTACGCTTGGAGCAGCCTACACATTTCAGTGCTCATATCACACTACACATATTATACTTCTTAAAAAATCGCTGCTGCTCCTTAAGTTGTAAAACAGCCTACATTCTGATGAATATAAACCAGTGGCCAAGAAAGGTAAGAAAAGATGCACTGCGCTCAAGAACTCCAGGCCAACCTTACTTCTAGAAACAGTCAACTCAAGAGCATCTCAAAGTGGTACAAGTTGAACTCACATTAGGCAGGTCTTTCACTGACTGATCATGAATATTACTTAGCACATGAAAAGGTGGAATTGAGAGATGACAAGAGAAACTGTCTCTGTCTGCAGATGTATCAGAGATACATAAACTACTCTTGCTAAGGGTATATGAATTTCCTCGTGTTTAAAATGAGAGTAATACTTGGTTTGGCTCACAGGGTTCTGAAGATCAAATACAATAATATATATGAAAGCATGTAAATTCTGTAACTGTCAATTACCATTAGATTCACTTAATTCAATCAACATTACCTGAGCACCTATAATAGGCTAGGGCCTGGAGGACACTAGAATGAGTTTGTTGTTATGTTATTAACACACTGTACTACTTTCTAGGGCACTTATCTCACCATTTCTTTTGAGTCAGACAAGCTGCTATGGAGCTGCCCAAAAATAGACCAGCTGGTAATAAACAAACAGGCTTTCTCAAATTGCTATATGCTAGCGCTAGCGCTGTGAATAGCATATCCCCACTCACTCACATGGAGAGGCACTTCATGGCTTCTCCAAATAATTCTGTCACAAATGAGAAGGCTGATTAATAACCAGGGGAATACCTAAGATAATCAAGTAAGAGCCAATTTTATACCAGTCTGCTCAAGTGATAAGTAGTGGTCTGTCATCAAGAAGCCATTTGTGAATTAAACGTTGCTTAGGCCAGCACCACCTGGCCCAAAGTTGCCTACTGCTGAGTAAAATTAGATAGATCAATCATGTTTTTCAAAGCAGGAACAGACGAGACCAAGGGTAAAAGCTGTAGCCACAGTAATATCAATTCAGCAAATATTTACTGATCACCTAATATGTATTAGTCACTGGAAATGAAAGGAAAACTGATAACAGTTGGGTTGGATTACCACTTAGAACACTCCCACATATGGTCAAATCAGCCGCTCCAGTTGGCTCTGTTGTCCAGATCTCTTGGACAACACAGCCAACTACTTACTGGACACTCTCCCAGGCATATGGAACACAATATGCCCCAAACTAAACTCATCTATTCCACTTTAATATCTCCCTTATCTGTCTACTCTTCTCTATTCCCACACTTACTATCTTCATTCAGGCTCTAATAGTGCCTCACCCCACTTACTACTAATGCCCTAAACAATTTTTCTTCTTTTCTTTCTTCCTTCCTTCTTTCTCACCTCAAACCTTCTCTGAACACATCCTATATTCTGTCATGAAAATATTTATTTCTAAAATGAAACATTGAAAATTCCATTTTTCAGGTTAAAATCCTTCAGTGGTTCTTCATTGCCTTCTGGATAAAGTTCAGGTCCTTTATTAAGACATAGAAAATACTTTAAAATATGACTCCTACCTCTCTCTCCAGCTTCACCTTGCTAAAACTTCACATACATCCTTCTCTCCATTAATTCAAGACAATTTGCAGTTCCTAGAACAGAGCATGCTTTCTTTTGTCCCCGTGCCTTTGCCAATATCGTATCGTTCCTTCTGCCTGCAAGTCCATACTCAGCTCAAGTCAGTTCTTCTAGAAGTTTCCCCCAACTGCCTAAAGTATATTTAGATACCATGCCTCTTTTGTTCCCGTTGTACCCTGTCATTATTGGTTTACTCATCTGTCTTTTCCATTAGACTGATAAGAACTTGCTATGTTTCTTAGCTCTGTTAATCTCTCTTGCACAGTTTTTGGCACGTAATAGATGTTCAGTAAAAACTTGTTGAAATTATACCAAATAAATCCAGGAACCCTAAGAACTGCTTTGACTTGTGCTATTCAAAAATTAAAAAAGCTTGGGACTTCCCTAGTGGTGCAGTGGTTAAGAATCCGCCTACCAATATAGGGGACAGGGGGGTTTGAGCCCTGGTACGGGAAGATCCCACATGCTGCAGAGCAACTAAGCCCGTGCGCCACAACAACTGAGCCTGCGCTCTAGAGTCTGTGAGCCACAACTACTGAGCCCGTGTGCCACAACTACTGAAGCCTGCGCACCTAGAGCCCATGCTCCGCAACAAGAGAAGACATCGCAATGAGAAGCTCACACACTGCAATGAAGAGTTAGCTCCCGCTCGCTGCAACTAGAGAAAGCCCACATGCGTCAACAAAGACCAAAGGCAGCCAAAAATAAAAAATTAATTAAGTAATTTAATTAATTAAAAAAAAAAACCCAGAGATGCTCTTTCCAAAAAAAAAAAAATTGAAAAGCCTTGTTTACAAAGAACATAAGAAGCAGCCCACTTGACCAGACCAGCATTCTGGTCCAGCATTCTATCTCCTACATCAGTAAAATAAGAGGAAAACTAACATTATTGCATGTTCACTGTGTGACAGTCACTCTAACATGTTTTCTCATTTAATTTTTCACAACCTCACTATGAGGTAGTCACTATCTCTATTTTATAGATGAAAAAATGGAGAGGGTAAGCAAGTCAGACCTAGGAAGTGATGGAACTAGGGTTTAAACTAAGGTCAGTGATTGATTCAAAAGCCCATTTCTTCCCATGGCAAAAGAAAGTATCTCAAGTAGGCCCAAAGGACATGTCCTATTATGTTCAAAAGAATATACACTAAACCTGACTATTCTTTTGGGAAGCACAAAGTTGTCCAAGGTCCTTAGCAGAGTCTGGTTTTAGTGGCTGACACCATACTTTGAAATATAAGGAGAAGGCTGTAAAGCCAGAAGAAAAGATTGGGTCAAAAAGAAGATCTAAAATCCCCATGACATAAGACACCTACAATTTGGCATCTAACGTGAGTGAGGAATTTTAACTGACAGTGCTGTGCCTTTGGCTATGACCATCAGCATGGACCACTGGATTATATAAGATTCTGCACAGCAGCATATACCAAACTGGCCTGGAAAATTTAAAGGGATCTTCTCAAGGATATGAATAAATATATGACTGCGTCTGCACCACCCACAGTGACAGATAAAATTGAGATCTGATGTGTTGCTTGTCTGGCCTGATGCAGGATCTATAAGAAGGATGCTACAATACAAAGACCAGTTGCCTGTATAAAGTACCACAAGGCTGTCTAGTTGGTTTCAAGAATATGAGAAGGGGGACTTCCCTGGCGGCGTAGTGGTTAAGAATCTGCCTGCCAATTCAGCGGACACGGGTTCGATCCCTGGTCTGGGAAGATCCCACATGCCGTGGAGCAACTAAGCCCGTGCATCACAACTACTGAGCCTGTGCTCTAGAGCCTGTGAGCCACAACTACTGAGCCCGTGCGCCACATTCTCATTGTAATGAGAAGCCCGTGCACCGCAACAAAAGAGTAGCCCCCGCTCACCACAACTAGAGAAAGCCTGTGCTCAGCAACGAAGACCCAAGGCAGCCAAAAATTAATTAATTAGTTAATTATTTAATAAAAGAATATGAGAAGGAAGAACGTTAGACCAATATTTAAGTGAGCAGGAACATTATTTGATTGAAAATTCTCAATTTTACTTAAAACGTCAATGGTTCCTGCTAAGTATGA